AAACAGCTTCAAAGCCTGCTATGGAGCAGCATAAAGTACAGCACATCCTTTTCTCTCTAAATACCAGGTCCATAATACTCTTCTGAAGAACTACACTTAGGAACATAAACAGTACCAGAAAAACAATCCTGTATTTTCTACAAGATGCAGTTAAAACTAGGGCACTGTCTAGCTTTTTTTTTCCTTTCTGCATAATATTAACATCCCTCCAATAGCAGTCCTTCCACTCTCAGAAAATCTTACAACATTTCTGTAGGGAAGTCATAATCCCTGAGGAGCAGAACAGAGAACAAAATCTACTTCTGTATTGTACAAAGCAGCCCTTTGCAAAGCTGTGCAAAGTGGCACTGCCAAAAAAACAGACAAGCATCTTTGGCTATCACTGTGATATGCTAGGTGAACATACCACCTCATCTGCAGTTTGTTTGGGTTTCTCTAGTATAATCCTCCACTGCCTGGGATGCAGATGCCCTGGCTCACAATAAGTGTGTCAGGTGCATCACCAGGAGAGCCAGTCCAAGAACCCAGATCCCTTCCCTCAGTGACCTGTGCTCCATTTGTGCTGCCTGTTTACCTCCCTGCTTTTGGGCAAGAGGGCTCATTTCTTATGTGCCCATTAGCTTTCACTTATGCACAAGGGGTGGAAGTCAGCTAGTCGTCTACCCATACATGATACGAATCACACCCTAAAAATGCCTCATTCATTTAAATGTAGATGCCCATCTAGAATTCAGCTAATTTCAGGTAAGAGAAATTCCCAAAGCATTCTCTAAACATATACCTCTTTGTGTAATTTCTAAATGAAAATTACACCCTTTAATCAGACCTTATTTCACAGTACCCCTTCAACATATATATTTTTTTTTAATTACTCAAGACATTCTTTAAGAATTCTGCTTTCTAAATGGAAATACAGTTACAAACCTCCACAATTACCAGGAAACATACCAATAGCAGCTACCACTCTCAGATGCCACTGAACAGTCATTGCCAATGCATTTTTGGGAACAACAAGAACAACAACAGCAAAAAGTCTGCTGTCTTCATAGAAAGCAGCTACATCCTGAAAATTTAACAGCCTTTTTGAAAGCAGAAATTCAACACATGGTTTATCTGGGCTGGTTTTCTCCTTTTTGATTTAATATACTCAGGCCAGGTTAATCTGGATTTGGGTTATCTGTTGGTCTGGGTGCCCAAAAGATTAAGGTAGTAAGCACAGTCCTACAGATGCCTGCTTTACTGACTGATTAATCTGCAGGATTTGATTTTTTCCCCCACCCTCCTCTTCTCTCAGTGCAAGTGCAGTTTGATTTGGATTATGTAGGTCACAGTGCTATGCTCTCATTTCCCCAGATGACATGCACAACGCTGCTGTTTTACCATCCGAAACACAACAGAATAATGTGCTCTACATTACTATCTCGAGTTTTCCCCTTGCTGCAGCTGTGCTGTGACTTTCTCTAATGAAAAAAAGTTGTACATGTGTCCAACATTTACCAATCTGGTCTGACAATCCAGATCAGCTCTCTCATAGCTTTCCCTTTTTTTTTCTTTAAAAAAAAACACAACAAAAACCCAGCCATTTTTCCCAGTAGCATCCTATTTAGATGTCAGCAAGCAGCTGAAGCCAGGCTCTAAAGAACCACTTATGCAGGTGAGAATGCCATACATACTCTCTTCTCTATAAGACTGTCATATCTATTAAGAATTGGATTATGATCACTGATTGCTTCCTACCCAGATGAAACAGCCTTTGGATGCAGCAACTTTGAGCTCACTACATGCTTTTGCTAACACAGAAAACCTGCATTACATTCAGTATCTACTGACCCAGAATAGCTCCAACATACATCTTGAAACTGGCATATTAATAATTCATAGCTGTGAATTCTGTGCCAGTAAACAAAACAACAAAAGCACATATTTTTTCAGTAATTCTTGCTGATTTGGCTAGCAACCCAGAAAGCAACTCAGCAGAGCTCAGGTGGTTCACTGCTTGGCACGCTTTATGTAAATTACTCTGCCCTCAGCTCACCACCTCGTTTCACGTGAAGTTCAGGCCTGAAAGCAGAAGAAAACTGGCATTCTTCAATTATTTTTACAGTCTCCAGGAGTTGCTGAAACTTTCTTAAAGACAAAGGGGACATTTCCTACTCAGCCACACATGGATTTTCCTTACTACAAAAAACACTCCCATAGTGCCTTCAACATCTGTTTGAATATTTTACTATTGTGGTAAACCTACATTAAATTCAGTACATGAGCCACTCACATACCATTCCTGC